GGGTGTTAAGGTTTTAGGGTTCAGGGTTTTTGGGCTTCATGGTGTAGGATGTAGGATGCAGTAGGAGCAATGGTAGCTCCAAGCCTGGTGAGTGCCGCCCAAAGATGTATTAGAGCTAGAGTGCTAGCTAAGGGTTTAGGGTGAAGTATTGGGCCAGGAATTCGGTGCCCGGAATATTATAGCCCGTATCATCATGGAAGCCCAAAAAAATTCTCACAAATGTGATAATCTTGCCAGGATTTCGTGGCATGGCGTCAAGGGCTGAAACGTCATGGTACAGGGGCAGAAAGTGCCTACACAATACATTGCACAATGCTGCAGCCTCTGAGTAGCTTATCTGCTGTGGAAAAGCTGCCGAACTGGAAGTGCAAGTAGTCGCTTGCTTCAGCTGGGGCTGCAAACTAGTGGACGTTTGTGTTCAGTGTTTTCCGTCATCCAGATACCATGATATGTGATGCATCATGATGAGTCGTATCGTCACACCAAGGTATAGAAAGTAATTTCATGCTGACGCTGCATTCGTCAAGGGAACAACTTTGAAGCAATCAGTTTCCTCATGATGCAGCCAGCTGTGGCCCTGAAGAGGCTTGGGTCCCGCTGGCAGGGCCACACATGCTAAAAACTGCAACAGGCAAGTCTGGATCGCTTCAAGCTCTGCCCGTCACAACGTATGCTTTGAAGCCATGCACTCCACTAACAGATGTATATTATGGTAATATTATAATGTACTAGGTTACATTATAGTAGATTATCCTGTATTAGGGTACATGAAAATACTCTTTCCGATTAAAACTTCATGGCTCTAGGGCTGAACGTGTCTGAACCTGTTCGAGAACAGCGTAGCCAACAGCGAAGGCATCAATCAGCAGGTCATACAGTCGCAAGATTCGAGTTTCAATTGCGGGTGCTAACTATGTGGCCCGTATAGCTCACTTGTCTAATGTAAAAGAATTGCTTGTTCCAACAGCCATGCAGGCATGTACCATATAAGCCTTCTCGAGCTATTTATGCAGACACCTGTGGTCGTGTCTCCAGTTCTCGATTTCCAGCAGGTGCCCATGTTGTCTTTGATTTTGACATGTGGCTCAAAGCGGACACATTGCAAGACCCTTCCAGCCATCCCTTTTGGAATCTAAACCCTAAACCCTAAACCCTAAACCCTAAACTAGCATCCATATTGTCATCGCATGGTTGTCATAGTTCCGCTGCGGAAAGCATCAGAAACCCTTGCTGCAAACCATCACATGAGCTATAGTCTAAACTCCTTCAGGGGGGTTATATAGGGGATTAATACTAAAGGGCATATTAAGGGGGATACTAGGAGTTGAGGCCTAAACTGTCTAAACTCCTTAAAGGGGGTTTTAATAGGGGATTATACAGGAGAGTACTCAAGGGCATATTAAGGGGGACTACACCGCAGACCGTACCTTGTACATGCTGAAGAAGGTGAATCCTCTGTGGTTGGAGGCAGGGTTGCTTCCATCCAGATGTGTGAGAGACTTAGGTGAAGCATCGATCTTCTGTAGTCTACATGTCTCTTGTAGGCAAAGCCCTGACACGCATTTACCTTCTTCTTCAGGCACGGAAGCAAGCCAGGATCCCAGTTGCCTGAGCACTCCGAATCAGATGTTCCAGTGACTTGCTGTTGGGAGTTGCTCTTGCTTAGAACATGGCCGCAAGATAACAGTCATAAGCCCGTGTAGACCTTGCTTTGCTCTAGGACCTTGGGATTTCCGCTTCAGCCTTCGCACAGTATGAAGCTTAAAGATGTGGTTGCGACGGCCATGAGGATGTCAACAAAGCTTGCGGTGGCTAAGGGCACCATCCCCACAAAGGGTGCTGGCCGTCCTTATTTGGTCTGAGACTTGTGTAATGTCGATTTCAGTTTCGTCTTGAGCTGGTGGCGGAGTGCCCACAGACATCACGAAAGCAGCGAGGAAGACTATAGGCAAACAGGAGGACAAGCAGGAGGACCAGGACACGGTGGAGGAGACGGATGCTCGCGAAAGAATGGGCCAGAACACGGTATATTATGGTATATTATAATATTGTATGGTATATTATGGTATATTATAATATATTATGGCAGATTATCGCATGTTATGGTATATTATGGTATATTATGGCTTCAGCTCTTACACTTGTCGCGATTTGGAAGACATTCTGACCTGATTGGTTCGACTGTTGGCGCCAAGACAGGCGCCTTGAAGGTAGCAGCTTTCACTAAAGTTTAGGGTTGAGGGTTTAGGGTTGAGGGTTTAGGGTGCAATGCACTGCCTCAGGCATCATTCGGGTGCATGACATCTGCATGGATCTTCAGGAGTCGTTTAACTGCTAGTGAGGATGAATGAACTTTTGCTTCTTGTGGATTATTCAAGATGCCAACGCAAGGATTCCAAGAGTTTTCATGGTCGTGGACCTCACTGACTGACAAAGTGCCTGGGATGTCTCGAGATTCGGGGCCCCACACACCTTCTTGGGTTCATAAGAGCAACCGTACTGCGAGACATAGGCGCTTCCTAGCTGACATGAGCAGGAAGATCCCAAAGTCCCACAACCTGGAAGCATGATCGAGGCCATTCAGCGCCGGCGTGCCCTGTGGTCGCAACCGCCAGATGAGGCAAAGAATTGCTGCGCCATGGTGCAGCATTTCCTAATAGGCACCTAAATTTACGAAGACGACAGAGGCTTGTTACTCTCATCCCCGCTTTGCCACAGAACCTGTAACAATTTCACAGCATATCATCATCACAAATTCTAAGTCAAAGAGGTGTCGGCTAACATTGCCGACCCGAGCAAGCACGCGGTTGAAATTGGGCTTCACCCTAAACCCTAAACCCTAAACCCTGTTCTTTCAAACAGACACGGTTACTCGGTCTTCTCAGAGCACAAAATTTCCAAACGGCCATAGCTGAGCAGGGACTCGGGCTTCATTGATTGGGTTGCTGTTAAGGAACTTAAATTAAGTTACCATAATCGGTATATATAGTAAATAATGGGGTTTCCCCAATATAGTAACTTAATTTAAGTTCCTTAACAGCAACCCAGTTGAGGGTTGTTTAGGGAAAGCAGCTTAGCCTCAGCCTGCAAGGGTGGGCCTTCTGCACCAAGCTCTGATTGTGAAGGGTTTGGACAGCCGTGCGTTTGCCCTTTTCGGGCAAATCCAGAGCCCCGCAAGTAGCCCTGCAAGTTTGTTGCTGTGATCCCTAAACCCTAAACCCTAAACCCTAAACCCTAACATCTGCATCCCTCAAGGACACCTCGCAAAAACCCTGAGGTAGCTTTATATACTCATTTCATTTTCCATTTTCTTTCCCATTTGATTCTCCATTAAAGTAGTTTCCATTTTATTTTCCATTATCCCAATATAACCCCAAGATATTATAGTAGTTTCCATTGCTCAACCCGCTTCCTGGCCAGCGACCGAAAGCCCCGAAGCATTTTGCAGGCAGATGGAGATCTAGCGAGTGGACAGCAGGAGAAGGAACTCTTTGTGGTGCCCTTAGGAATCGCCCGAGTGTAATGCTCTGCTTCCGTTTTGGGGTTGATGATGTTTATCGGTAAAGACATGCGCGGCTCTTCTGTAGCAGCTTTCACCGCCACTATGCAGGCAGCAGCAAAAGCTGTCACCAATGCATCGTTGTCGTGTTTTGTAACATCATTTGTAATGATACTTAAGTTGTAGTATCTGTGGAAGTGATGGCACTTGTGTTATTAAGAGTTCTATTGCTACAAGTATTCTGATGATGAGTAGATAATTGGGGTTCTTACTTGTCGCGATAGTTCCGCTTCTAACAAGTTGCAGTTGCGGCGGCAGCTGCATCATCCGCCGCCGCCGCAGTCGTCGTCGCAGTCGTCGTCGCAGTAGGCACAGGAAGGAGCAGAATGGAACAGGAATAATAGGAGGACAGATAAAAAAAGGGAGCAGTGACCGATGACTGGCTTTTTTCGCCTTCGCGGCAGAGAATTTCCATTCCATCACCCCGCCACTACTACTGCAGCTGCCTTTGCGCCATGGGTACCTCGAGCAAGCAAATGCTTAGGGATCATTCCCTCAAGCTTCTTGTTTTCAGAGTAGTGGGCTACTTGTTGGCTTCTGTAAAGCACGGGTCCAGGACTCTAGAGGTAAAACGGGCTTCAAACTCTGACCCTGCAGGAGAGAAGCCTATGCAATTGCAAGCACCCCTTGGGTGGTCAGCCTGTCCTTGTTGAACCGCGGGACTGAGGAGGCGTTAGTCAAAGACGCAACGTCTGAGGGCTACGGCTTTGAGCAGAAGGACTGTTCATGCCAGGATCTAGGGCAAGCTTCCACGAAGGTGACTAATGCACCAAACCAGGGGCTGGTAATGATGAGAGCCTAATAATACTTTTAATAGTAATAAAGGAAATAATAGTAAGAATAGTAATAATTGTGATAATAGTAATAATAGGAATGTCAGTACTAGTTGCAATCATAGTCATAATAGTTACACTAGCTAGTAGTCATAGTAGTAGTAGCAATAATAATGGTACTTCAGTTCCCAACCCTTTGAGCAGCATTCGCATTGCTCAAGACTCAGGACAGTCAGAGCTTCTGAACGTACATGTGTCTCAGGTTCCTAATCTTGACATTGTTGGTGCCAATCGGGATTCTTGTCCAGCCAAATTTGCATCAGCCCATAGCTCGGAGCAACTTGGAGTGGATGAAGGACCTGATGACAAAGGTTGCCCAGGCACGATTGACGTGCTGCTTCATGAATAGGAGTGGAGCAAGAGTGGTGTTCTGGGCTGGGGCCTAATATG